ATATCATTTGACTATTTCAGCAAAACAGCATTAGTTGGGTGTCTATAGTCACGATGATTAAACATCCCATCCGCCAACTCCCACGACCCACGTTCTCCGCTTGTCGGATGGGGAGGGTGAAAACCGAATTTTCATTGGCTGGTCTCTTTTATTCTACCGAATGAATACGCCTACCAGAGAATTTGCTAGTGTTTGTCCTATGGCGCCATATTTCTTTCGCTGATAACTAGGCCTGAAGTAACTCACTTTGTAAAAAGAATAAAATCAGCAATTAAAACAGTGCGTCTCTGCTCTACTTTTGGTGACCAATTGGAAGGGTGGAAAGTTTGAGCTGGAAAGCTGACAAAAAATTTCAAATGGGCCCAGTTGAGTATAACATAGTAGTAAGGCAAGTTTCGATGGGCGGATTCAGCAATACGTGCAAGAAAGACCCAAGGGACGGGTGTGGGGGCGACCAGAGGCCAGCGACGAATCCACGCGCGCTTGCGTGTCGCATGCGCCATCGATTCCAAACGTCAACGCGAGCGCGCGCCAACGCAACCACAATCGCCCATGGCCGCACACATGCATGCCTGCCGTTGCGTTGGGAACGCCTACTCAGACTGGCCAATGGCGTGAGTTGCTTTCAGCAATCGATCATACTTGAGCGGGCAGCGCAATGCCTCACTGCTGCTGGCTCCCACTCTCTTTCTCTCCCTTTCTTCATGCGTCCGTGTGTGAGTGGGTGTGCGCGTGTACATTCATTAGATGCGAAGATTGAAAGAGAAAGCACCTCTGCTCCATGCCACACCTCGAGAGAGCAGGTATGTTCTGCTGATTTTAGTCTGGAAGAATTGGAATGGGCGCTGCTCACTCCCAACACTCTGCCTCCGTTCGAGTCTCTCCTGTCTGTGGCTACTCCAAACACACAGCAAACACTGGAACAAAGTCCATCACCATCCACAGTGAGGGACCAAGTACTGAGGGCACTCGTGTCACTACGGGTTCTGAGCCTCACCTTGCTTCTACTTCCGTTCGTTCAATTTACAAACAAGCTGGAAGTAATTTGAACAGTAGGTGGAACAGTCGGAGAAAGGATTTTGCTTTCAGAACAGAGACAAGCCGTTTGAGTGTGAATGGTGGAGGAGTCCACGACTGTGTGCCCTTGGACAACAGTACATGGACTAGAAGTTCTTCAAAAAAAAAAGTTCGTCCTCGAACACTGAAACAGACATCTCACAACTCCACGAACTCCTCCTACATAGCTGACTGTAGTCCAGACAGAAGTGCTGTGGCACAGAGTGATTTAAATGTCTCAGGTCGAGACAGTTTCGTTGCTACAAACGAGCCCCAGATAAGAGTAGGTTTGAATCGCCTCTTCTCCACAGACACCACCTTTAGCATTAACGAACATCTCAATAATTTCCAGTCACATTCACGATGTGATCTATTGGACTATGCGGACAGGCGATCCAACCTCTCTGAAATGGATCCAGCTTCTTCACGGCTCGTTCAGCGCCGCCATCTCTCGGAACTGTGTCTTCATTTGGATGGTTTGAATAATGGAAACAATAATAACAGTCACCATATCCCAATCACCCTCCGATCTCCACGACAATCTCACCTTCCACTAGCTCAGTGTATAGTACCAACTTACGACTTCGGCACGCAGACCACCGAGGTTGGACCATTTACTAGGATGGCCACCACAACGACATCTATGTATGCTCCAAAGTCGAAAATCAAGTCGCCCTCCTGTCAGGTCACGCCTGCGCACTCTGCCCTCTGCACCAACCACCTTGTCGCGCCCCAACTCTCTCGGTCTCCCCTCAGCAGTGAAGCCGAACTACTCAGTCCTGATAATGACGAGGGTAATGACGCCTTGGACAATTATCACGACTACGTGAATCTCCCTCAATCCCGATCACGCTCGGTCAAAATGCATAAGAAGCAGCAGCAACATCAGCCCCCCATAGAAGTCAAAACGAAGGCGGACGAAGTCAACGAAGATCCAGGGAGAATACCACTGCCCATTCGGCGTCTTTCCAAATCTCGATGGCGGATAGTGTCACGAGGCAAAAATTTAACAAAGTCCATATCTTGTTACGCTCTTAAGTTTTTCGGACAACAAAACCGAAGTTATGAGGCCTCCGACCAATTACTGATAGGTGCCAGTCAGTGCGTCCTTCCAATGCCCAGCCAGCGTCCACCACCACCACCACGGCCTCCTACTTTGGCTATGCTCAAAAGGGGAAGAGTGGATGGGTTGGTGGTGCAGAGGGACACCCCTAATCCTTCTTCTGATGATCTTGGACAAACACTCCAGCGCGTTCTTTGTCTTGGTCAATCAGAAGAGATGGACAGCGCTCCCAAACTGTCACACATTGTTTCCCTCCAAGCCAAGATGAATCGCAGTTTAAGTGCATTTGGGAAAGAGGAAGCAGTGAATCCAAGGCGCCATGCAGTTAGACGGTCAACCTTCCAGCACTCGATCAAAGACGGTTTGAGGAGAGATAAACTTCAAATTCTTCAGACCACCAGCACCAAGGAACTACTCCATTGTCTTTCCATTTTTATTCTTCGGCATTGTGATAAATTGTGTGAGCCTAACGCAGTAGACTCTCCACTCTATCCTGAGGAAATAATCGCCTGGATTAGGGATATTGATAGAGCGTTGATACAGCAGGGCTGGACAGACGTTCCCTTTCTCAGTCCAGCAAACGTGGTCTTTCTCTTCATTATGATCAAAGGTTTTGTGGATTCCAGCATAACCTGCAGTCGAGAACTGCACTCCCTCGTTATGGTCTGCCTCTACCTCTCCTATGGGTATATGGGGAACGAGATTAGTTATCCCCTCAAACCCTTTCTCAACGCAGAAATCCTCTACAGCATGTTGCATGAAAACGATTCTCAGCGATTTCGCAGCATGACTACTGCCGATGCAATGTCTTCAAGGAATCCAAAGGTGGTAAATCGCTTTCGAGACGCCTTTTGGGAGACCTGTGTGCGTGTTTTGAAGTGCAAAAGTAAGGACATGCTCCAACTCAATTCAGACGCTATTTTCTTTACCCAAAGCATTGCCGAGTTGCGTTCGTACGCTAATTCATCGGAACAGAAATCGACCACACCTTCGGCCTAAATAT